GTGGTCAGCGTGTCTGCTGACAATGCCTGCCAGCTGCACACGGTGCCCACACGTCAGTACTGCACCTTGGCCAAGTTCTTCATGCTCATGTCGTTGCTGCTAGTAGCCCTTCATCTTCTCATTCAGTACTTAGGTATTTTTTCGCCAACTACGTAAAATGAGGTTGTTATCGACGGACGACTGTAGGAGCCGACCGTTGATTGGCCATTGAATTTCTTACTATCTGTGCTGCTGTTAGTTGTTTGTGCTTGCTGAACTGGCTTTATCCATTCAGTACGCCTATGCTGTATGTGCTTCGTAGGCATGTAATTTTTTTCCTGTTCTCGCTTTGCTACACCTTAAACTTTTTCGTGTCAGGTGTCGTCTGTGTCATACATGCAAAACCAACTGTAGTTGGTTATGCACTGTGTGGGCCGTGATTAGATACGATTTTCATGCACTAAAAGCCAATAAAATATACAGACATATATGTAAGTTAAATGAGTTCTGAAACTCGTTTCACTTCTCCGTCTTACTGTTCACTTCAGTAAAATACCACTTCAGTGACACAACAAATCGACGATGGTAGTTTTCGTAACCAAACTGCAGTCGCCACCCTCGCGGTAAACAAGTATGCATGTTATTTAATTAATATCGTTATGAAAAAAACCTTCACTGAAAATTACCCTAAATTTACCTGCATTTTCTGATCAAATATTGAAGTGCCCCTATTTTTGAGGTGTTTAAGGGAACTGAAAATTGCAGATGATTTGACCACCGCAGCTGTGCTTCAACTCTACGCAAAATTGGACAAAGCGAATCTAAACGACGACAAGCTGATCACTGTGTTGCCAACCATCTTCGAGATCACGAACATGCGTCAAGGAAAACGACATACTGCGTAGCTGAACGAACAAGTGGGATTCAGAAGTGTATTTCATGTGACGGATTATCTCCATGTGGCATAAGGAGTAATCCTGACAAACAGAGAAAATAAACCTCCTTTCTGCTTGGGGGTTCGTCTACTTCGAAATCCGTTCCAACATGGTTTACACGTGATCTGTCCTGAATTTCTTTAGAAGCCACGGCTAATCGACAAAAGCTACTGAAACCCCATTGCCGTAATTTACAAGAAGGCAATGTCGAAAAGGGCGTCCGGTAAGGATACGACACAATTTCATTGAAGTTATTCGCAACAGCTCTAGAAGAGATGTGCCAGACATTAAACTGGAAAAATCAGGGGCTGAACATCAGTGGGCGTTAAAGGTTGCGGTTTGCAGGCGAAATTATGATTCTCTCAAGGTCACCAGAACCGCAACGAAGAATGCAAGAGCTGAACGACGCCAGCATCAAAATAGGACTTAAAATGAACCTGAAAAATACCCAGGTGATGTTTAAAAAAATACGTGACCGCGCGGCCTGTTCAGGTCAACAGACTTATGCTCGTAGAAGTGCAAAGCTACTACTCGTCTTTGAAACTGACAACAGATT